AGGGGCAACCCACTCAGGTACCAGATTCCAACACACTGGATTGCCCAACTCTGCAGTCATTCAGTTTTCTTCCCTATTCCTCTGTCCTCCCGTTGATAGACCACAAGAGCAGTCAGGAAATGCGCATTTGTGGTCTCCCAAGGCTCCTGTGTTCAGAGCCTTGCTTCCCTCATCCTCCTGACAATCCCGTGACTTGTCATCTCTTCTTGATCCCCAGATCTCCCTCTGCTTTTCCCAGGAATATGACTCAAGTAACAGTGTGTTGCTGTGAAGATCAAAGGCAACAGATATACAATGAAGGAAGCGGAAGAGAGGGAGGAGCATTTGGAGGGGTGGCCCGCCTTCCTGTCTAGCCAAAGCTGGGGGACAGTTGGTTACTCTAATAATCAAGACCTATAGTACCCAGGGTGTCCAGAAAATAATCTGAGGCTGATGAGCATGTGAGGGAGAGTTACTTGAGTTTTCTGGGTCTCCACTTCTTCTCTGGTGAACCAGGCTTCTCATGGGGCTGTGGTAGAGATGGAAAGGCCTAGATGGTGTTGCGCATCTCCCAGGGCACTTTTCTCTCTAGGTGAGCTCTCTATGGGAGTTAGCATTGAGACCTGGAAATGCCAAGTCTTGTCAACCTACAGCCACTGACCAGGTCCACTTCCTGGTCCTTTCCAAAGCAGGATTGCCTGAAGAAGCAGGTGCAGAGCAGAGGTAAAAGGAGACACGAGAAACTTGTCTTCCACCCCTCGCTATCAGAACATCAGGAGACTGCAGTTAAGGGGAAGGACGGCTGCAGACATTTTCCTGAAGTCCTCTGTGCAGGCCTGTGGATAAAAATGAGTCTATGTCTTTTCCTTTTTTTAACTTTTTCCTTTCCCACAAGAAGGAAGAGAAGAGAACCCACAGTGCAGACAGGCAGAAAAGCCCGGTCCCTCCACATTAGCCACCAGACTGGGACGTCAGCTGAACAATGGTCAAACTCATCCTGCAAAGAGCAGGTGAGAGAGGGTGACAGAACCCCACCCACCCATATGACCTACAGCCCCGTCCCCAGAGGACAGACATGTGTATGCTCCAGCTGAGTAGTGGCCTGCCTGCTCACAAGAGAAGAAACAAGCAGCCAATGCTATTCTCCTATTTGAAGAAAAAAAAAAGGGGGGGGGATATCCTAGACACGTCAGTCAAACACCATTTCACTGGGATCTCAGTACATGAGCCAGGTGCGGGACAAACCCAGGCCTGGCTCGGCCTCTCTCTAGAGTCCCTGACTCAGCCAATCAGGCCTTACCAAGAAGGAACCTTTGTGACAATAGTCCCAGAGACTCCCAGAGTCCCAGGCTCTGATGTTACTATTTTTTCACATTTATTAAATGCCATGGCACACTGAGCCCATGGGGGAGGCAGGGGGTGGGTAGCTCTGGTGGGCTGGCACGGCAAGAGATAAACAGATGCATGGCATTCCAGAGCTCTGAGGGAAGACGCCCCTCCAAGCCAGTGAGCTGCTTTCGTGCGTGTTGTCATCCCCAGCCCTGTCCTCAGAACTTTCCACCCAGCACTTGGCAATAGGATAAATCAGAGCCTGACGACTTCTTGGCTGCAGTAACACTCTGCCATGAGTGTCAGCACTGCCAGGCACTCCCTGGTGACATGTTTGGCTCCTTCATTCCAAGCACACAGTAATAAAAAGACAGCTGGATGCAGGGGGATGCCTGCAGCGTGCTTTCCAGTCACAAATTTGGACTAGCCTGTCCCCTCTCCCCAGAGTAAAGTCAGTAAAGGTTTTATGCTGGCCCAGAAGGAAAAACCAGGGATGGTGTGTAAATTATGGATTCACCAGACCCAGTATAAATGGTAAGTGGAGCTTTTCTAAGGAAAGAACTTGGACAGAAAACAGTAAGTTACTGTCACACATCGGGGAGGCAGGGTCTGCATCCTTGGAGCAGGAACTCGGGGACAAGCCAGTAGTGTTGGAAGTGGGGGAGATGTTGTATGAGTGTATGGGAGAGCACGGGGATGGAAGGGACAGAGACTAAGCCAGAGAGGTGACATTACTGGGTCCTGTTGCCTTTCGTCACCCACGTCCCCTCAAGCCCTGTCCCAGCGCATGCTGGAACTGCCCACACGTGATCACATGGAGTGAAAGGGTGTGAGGCCGAGGAGCCTGAGAACATGGGAGGGGGGAAGCTTCTGCTTCCCCTCTGGCTTTTAGGTTCCTCAGCTGTAAAATAGAGTACTCCAAGGTGCCACAAACTCTCTCTGTGTGAGCGGTCTAGCCATGCATGTGCCTAAACACAGTACACAATGCCCCCCCCACCCCAAATGCAATGCAACACCCTGAATGCAACACAGCACATGCTTCCTGTGATGAAATGAAACACCCCGACTTCAACACGACCCCCTCTGAACCTGGATACAACGCAGTACCTCCTAAAGACGCTGCAATGCCTGCTGATGGCAGGGTGATGTCCCTGGAGGCAAGGGCAGCTCCCTCCTGAGGCAATGGTCTGTAAAGACAGCAGGGCTATCTGTGATTCTCCCATGAGCAGGGAGGGCTCACCCCCACCCATCCACACACAGGGCCTTGCCCTGGGTTTGGCACCAAAGACACCCCCTCCCTGTGCTCACCCAGGGTACATTCTTGCTCACCCTTCAAATGACTCATAGCAGCTAGGGACAGGGTGCCCCAGAGCAAGCTGGCAAGTCATTGCCCATCCACCCCTTCCCCAGGTGCCACCACTAGGAGCTGTTGGGCTGTCAGCTGTTCCTGAGCTCAGGAGCTCCTTGAGTTACAAAAGCAAGATGACATGGAAATTGAAATAGGAGAAGCCACCAGTGGGGGCCAGAGACTCCTGGGGCAGCTATGGAAAGACAGCCCTGCCAGAATGGCCGCATTATTTATTGGTTCTCTTGGGGGAGGCATATATGGTTATAAAAAGAGGCTCTTCAGAACAAGCCACTCACCCAGCTTGTTCACGGGTCTCCAAAGAACACCCCCCCACCCCCTCTGTTTAATCAAAGGCCACAGCCAGGGTGGGAAGTACCTAACAACTGCCTGCCAACATCACAGTCATTGTTTCCCACTGGCTTCACAGGACACAGAGCTTAGCAGGGAGGGAAGAACCCCACTGAAAGGAGGGGCCTTTCCTGGGCCCACCCAGCAAGCCCAGGCCCCACAAGCTGCTGCTTTGCTGTCCTTAACCAAGGCAGGGTTAGAGGCCTGGGGATGTTCAAAAGTTCAAGATGTTTCTACCACTCTGCAAACTACCACCCTGCCGCAGGGGAGGAAGAGGGCTGGCCAATTGAAAACGATGTCATGTGGCCGCTGTTGAGTGCTGGGATGCAAAGGCCAGAGCAGAGGCTGGGCAGCAAATGGGTTTCACCGGGCTGGATCAAGTGGCTGCCTTCCTGGAAACTGGCCTTCTGTTGCTAGGCTGATAAGGCGGGCAAGTCGCTACCCTTGGTGCTCATGGGAAAACATGTTGATGCTGAAGGAGAGCTGTGACCGGTGAACAGTTGAGACAAAGCAGATCAACCCCCCCCCCCAGCTACAATGCCCAGGGGTGATGCAGATCACCAGGGCAGGTGTGCATTGAGAAAACCAAGGAATCTGACTTTTGGTGAGTGCTCCTAAGACTGAGATGGCGACCACACAAGAATGGATGCAGCTACTGAACCTCCCACCTTCTTCATGAACCCCCAGAGTTTAGGCTTCACCCTGATAACAGTGGACCCTAGTAACACACACACACACACACACACACACACACACACACACACACACACACACACACACACACACACGGCAGCCTCTCCTGGCCATCGGCCCCAATGTAGCAGTACCAGGATACAGTGGATGAGCTCAAGATACAGGAAGCCGACTCCTGGGGACAGAGCTGTACCATCAGGTGTGTGTGGAAGGTGCTAGCCTAGCATCCCACTGTTTATAACTGTGGTGGGGGAGGGGCAAGCAGACTTCAAAGGGTTTAGTGGTCAGGAAATGAAGCCTTTTGGCAGAGCTCCAGGGACAAGTAGCTTACACTGATTTCTGCCCCCCCAATAGTGTAACAAGGCACCTTTATGTTGTAATCCACTGCCCTCACACCTTGCCTGCAAAGTACCCTCTCCAGGACTGTTCAAACACCTCCACAGTCTACTTCCGCTAGGCAGCCAGCCACCAGCTCTTACATAACCTGTCACTTGAATTTGTCTCCAACATTCCTTGCAAGTAGGACTTTCAGGAAGAGGTGAGTGGAGACTTGCAATGAGGAAACTCAGAGCCCCTCCCCCCAAAATGCCCCCTCACGGACCTGCTTCATAGCTGCTCCTGGGAGTCAGGATGCATTGTGTGGCCTCACCCACGGCAGCATCCTATTTCTGTTCCCAAAGTAAAGAAAAAGCCAATGGGCCCCCAGTCTGCTCCCCACAGATCCTTCATGGACTGTGTTCCAGAAGGGAGTGGGAAAAATAGAGGAGAAGAGGGAAAAAGAAGGGAGAAGTCTGCAGCCGCAGGCCATCAAGACATCAGTGCAGAAGCAGAGGTGCAGACAAAAACTGGGTTCCCTGAACACCAGGAGGGAGAACTTGGAAATGAACACGAGCCACGTTGTGGGTGAGTCTGCAATGTGGGGGAAGCTACTTTGGAAACAGAAACCTAAAGCAAAGGCTGGACATTGAAAAAGGAAAAACAGATTGACCAGAGCTGGGTGTAGTAACACATACATGCAGCTCAGGACTAGAAAGGCTGAGCAAGAGGATTTCAAGTTCAAGGCCAGCTTGGGGTACGTAGTACCCCAATTACTACCCCTATTACTACTACTAATTATAATCATAATAATGCAGCAACAAAACAGACAAGTTAAAAACAATGCTACAAATGGAAATGGGCTTGAAATGTGTGGCTAGAGGAAGGAAAAAAAACCAAATACATATTTAAACAAATATTTTCAAACATTTTAATATATATAGTTATAGTTATAACTATAGTTATAGAAATCTTATTTATGCCAGAAAGCTAGCAAAGGTAAACAGTTGGGGATTTTAAATATTTTAAACAGAAAAAGAATATCACACAAGTGTAGCATTTAGAGAATTTAAGCAGTGACCTTCAAACATTTCAAGAAAAAAATGGCTGAGGGGCTGGAGAGATGGCACAGTGGTTAAGTGCACTCTCTGCTCATGCAGGGGACCCAGGCTTTGTTCCAAGCCCCTACATGGCAGCTCACAACCATCCACAACTCCAGTTCCAGGGGGCCTGACACCCACCTCTAACCCTCACAGGCTCCAGACACACATGTGGTGTGCATACATACCTAATGCAGACAAAACACTCTTATACACACAACAAGATAACCTTTTAAAAAACAGAGGGCAATATTAATCCATCCATTTTATAGCAACCAAGCTCAATCTGTTTCAGTTTTAGTTTTCAAAGCTACAGAGGACAGGTTGTGGCCCAATGGTAGAGTACGTGCTTAGTGGGTGTGAGGCCTTAGGTGACCCTCTCAGCACCAAAGAGAAAACACCGAAACTGAAATTCCAAGAGCTGGGAGACTGGGCAGCTGTTCCAGTAACCACATGTATGGAGTTGGCATCATAAGCAGAGGTGCGCTTCGAGGAGGCTAGTTCAACTCTCCCTTAGGCCACTTACTGCTGTACAGCTCTAGACTAGTCCTTGAGTTCTCTGTGCCTTGCTTTCCCATCTGCAAAAGAAGACAATAGTTCCTGTTTGCAGGCGGGTGTGACAGTTCATCAGGAAACCATGGAAAGCCATCAGAACATGTCCTAGCTTACCATTAGAGACTTGACAATGTTAGCTGTTTGATGATCGCAGGAGATAACTTTATGACTTTTCATTACCCAGAAGTATGTGAAAACTGATAAACCAGTTAGAGGGTGGCTTCTCTCACACAAGTGGGGGATGATGGACCAAAAACTTAAGACCATGGCAGTAAGCCGGGAGAGAGAGGGCTGAAAAAAAAAGTGAGAAACTGGATCAACAGACTCTGGAACAGATAAAATATGAAGAGAAAAATGTACTCAAGTGTGATCTAGAACTTTTCAGCATATCTAATCAAGAACTGACAAAAACTAGGAAGATGGTGACAGTCAATGGAAAATACCAATCACTGAGTACGTCCTCTGATACAGCCAATATCATCAGTGGCATGAATGTATTAACTCACTCAATCTTTACCATAATCCTGGAAGGTAAGTGACATTTCCATTTTACATATAAGCCACAGAAAGTCTGCAATGTGTAATGATTACACAGCTAATGACAGATGAGCTAGGCCTTGTAGAACAAGGGTAGGCATAGGGAGCAAGGTCTTACTATGCTGCCCAAGCTGGTTTAAATTCACTGCATAGTCCTGACTGGCCTGGACCTCTTTAGTTCTCCTTTCTCAGCCTGGTAGTGCTGAGATTAGTGGATTGTATCATTACTCCAGGCTAGCCCAGACCATCTTAGATGTCCACACATTTAATCTTCTAAACGATAATTGCTTTAAAACTCAGGAGACTAACACTGGCCACTGCTCACAGCATACAATATAGGCATACATGCACACACACACACACACACACACACACACACACCATACATGATGATGGTTCAGCAGTGTTTAAAGGTCCTCTAATAGATTGAATACAACAGTCTGAAACTTAGAAGTGAGGGAAAGACAAAAACAGAGCTAAAGATTACAGACTTATGGGAACTGTAGGATTAGTATCAGGAAAAGAAGAAGAGCTTTGAGGTACCCTGGACATGGACACTCTCAACGGAGTAACAAGGACACCTGTTTTGGCCATTTTTCATTGCAGATGTTAAAAATTAAGATGGCTTTATGAGGAAGGCTTTTGATGGCCCAAACTCTGAACTCCTTTGCCATATATGAGGAACCTGTGGGCCTTACACCTTCCACTAGAGTAGCCCCGAGGCCAGGTGTCTGCTGCCCCATATTTTAGACTGAGCACAGACATATAGACTGATATGATGGGCATTCGATCGTAGCACATGACACAAAAGCAAAGCACTGCGTCAGATGGGTTCTACCTGTCCTGGTTTAATTTTGTTCTTGTGATAAAACATTGGCCAAGACCAAACTGAAGAGGCAAGTGTTTATGTTAACTTACAGGTTACAGTTCATCAATGAAAGAAGCCAAGGCAAGAACCTGGAGGCAGAAACCGAAACAGAGGCCCCAGACAACTCTGCTTACTGACTGATCCATCTAAATTGCTCAGCTACTTTTCTTATACAGCCCGGGCCCACCTGAGTAGGGATGCCACCGCCACAGTGGGCTAAACTCTCCTACATCAATCGGCAATCAAGAAAATGCCTCAGAGACTGGCCATCAGCCAGTCTGCTATGTTCAACTCTTCAGTTGAGGTTCCCTTTTCCTAGTGACTCTAGGTTTGTATAAACTTGACAGCTGAAGCTGATTATGACACCATTGTGGCACCATCATGGTGTCCAGTAGAATTGGGGTAGCCAGTGAATGCGGTGTCCCCCTAAACTAAGTTTGGCCTTGGGTGGACTCTTTTGTTTCCAGCCTTCTTCTCTAGTCTTTCTGTCTGTAGGTGAATGTCCTGACATCATTTTACTGGAGGCATCTCTCTTGTTTAATCTGTGCTTCTGTTCAGTCTGCTGTCAACACAATTTTTCTTAATTATATTTCTCTTGCTTTCTCTTCTTTCCTGTATCAGCATATAGTATCCTCTGGCACAATGCCCCATAAGGAGTGCTTCCCCTTGAATCTGACATATTCCTAAATATTCATTAGATGGGATGTTTATATACATCCCAAAATATGTAAGATGGGAGGATGCTTGCATAGAGCTGACAGATATCCTCCTGCATCCTTTAATGTCATCTCTGGATGATATGAATTGTCTAACAAGTCTAACAAGCATCTAACTCTACTTTCTTATTTAGCTTCAATCCCAATTCTAGCCCCACTTGACAAAGTTGATTAAAACAACCAGTGTTAGACAATCTTCACGCCCCATTAACCCAGAGCACAGAACAACCCCAGGAGTTTCCAACTGCAGACATTTCTTGGAAGAGAATATCCAAATCAGTGTATGCTCATTGCCCTCATATCAGATGGGACAGCATTTACAGAGAACCAATGCACATCTTCATGTATCCTTTAATGCATCTCTAGATGACTTAGAGTACCCAATACAAGGTGTAGATGCTATTTAACAAACTAAGCTGCAGTGCCCAGAGAATAATAAGAAAAAAATTCTGCACACACTTGGCACAGATGTGATTTTTAACAATACGTTCATCTTGTGTTTGATTGAACTGTAGGAGATAAAATTCTTAGAAGTGAATGTTAGATCTCAACCCCAGGACAAATGGCTGAGGCTCCTATTTGACATATCAAAGTGGATATGGCCACCAGGTTTTCCCAGCATCCCTTAGCCCCTACCTCTTACAGGGTATGGCTGGCATACCCCACCCTCTATCCAAAACTTCTTCAGCCCAGGGGCTAGACTGTCCTTCCCCCAGATGCCCTCCTTATATAGTCTAACCATTTTTGGTTACCTGACCTTTCGTCTACCCTTTACTCTCCTGGCCTCTTGGCCTGGCTCACCCCTTCCCCCTACACCTCTTCTCGCACAGCTCATGGTCATGTCCACTCTGGACTCTCCTGGATGTCTCTCTCTGGCTATGTTCCCCCTCATATCCACAATAAACTTTCTCTTCCACCATCCCTTGGAGCAGTCATGTCCTTTCATTCATCTGGTGCTGAAACCAGGACCAGGCACATCCTTTCCTTTTTCATCCCATGGAATAAATACGGAGGGCCACCTATATTTCTTCTGCCAAGAGAGTCTCCATGTCATTCATGCCTTATCATCTGGTGTTTCCTGCAGTTGTCCTCCCGAAAACCCAGGTGGAACCAGTTGTATGCCCCTTTCCCAAGACCACAAGGTCAAGTTCATCGTCTGATCCACTCCAAGTTTCAAGATCTTGGCTAAGGGTGACCTGATCAACCTGTGTGTCCTAGGTGGCATCCATGGCCCCAGGCACCCAATCTACAGTTACCTAGAAACACAGCTTCTGACTCCTCTGTGAGACCTCAGGACATGAGGGGGCTCTCCTTCCAAAACCAAAGAGCCCAAAATATGGGAACTCCTCCAAAGAAGGCCCTGGTCTTTCTTATAGAGAGCAGAAATTACTCTGTCCCTATGCTGAGCACCTCTCAGGGAGGAGATGAACAAATATAAAATAAAATGTCATTATCCCAGACTTGGCACGGCAGAGATCTTAAAGATACCATTTGTATTTCATAGGATTGCATGTGAGTGAAATGTAACATTGACAGTTGTACTGGCTGCTCATTCTAGTTGAAGCTGAAATCAGACAATTTTTAAAGAAGCGTATCTTGTCTATGTGGAAAGGGAGCCAGACCCTCTGGGAAGATTCAAACAGGAAGCCAGGAGGCTCCAGCAGGTCCCAGCCAGTCACAGAAGCTAGTTCACTTACTGTGCTTTTCCTCTGCAGAATGTTTGAGCTGCTGTTGCTCACTGGGATCTCTCTCTCTCTCTCTCTCTCTCTCTCTCTCTCTCTCTCTCTCTCTCTCTCTCTCTCTACACACACACACACACACACACACACACACACACACACACACACACACGGCCTCCATTGGAACAGGTGATAGAGTGGTTAACCATTTTCAAGGGGTGAGGGCATGGAAAAAGCCAGTCACCCCAGGAAGGCTCAAGGCTGGAAGCTGTTCCTTCCCATGTTCCTGGGATCCTGGCACCAAAGCCAGAGGTGGGAATATAATTGAGCAGTAAGAAAGCCACTGCTCTGTGCTGCCAGCCATTGCATGGGTAGGTTCTTTGTTCTTATCTTTTGCAGTTCTAGAGGCTGAAAGCATTCTTTACCACTGGGCCCCTTTTGGGATTTTAGTTAGTTAAGTTAGGTTTTTGTTTGTTTGTTTTATGAGACAGGGTTTCCCTGTATAACAGCCCTGACTGTCCTAGAACTCTCTTTGTAGACCGGACTCGAACACAGAGATCCTCCTGCTTCTGCCTCCTGAGTGCTGAGATTAAAGGAGTAGGACACCACCACCTAGCCCCTTTTACATTTTTAAACTTTTTTAAAAATTTAAACTGTAAACAAGCTTGTTTTACATGTCAATCCCAGTTCCCTCTCCCTCCCTGTCTCCCTTGCCTCCCACCAAACCCCTATCCCACCCCCTTTCTGCTTCCCAGGGAAGGTAAGGCCTTCCATGGGGGATCTTCAAAGTCTGTCATATCATTTGGAGCAGGGCCTAGGCCCTCCCCCGTGTGTCTAGGCTAAGGGAGTATCCACCTATGTGGAGTGGGCTCCCAAAGTCCATTCATATACTAGGGATAAATACTGATCCATTACCAGAGGCCACATAGGTTAACCAGACCTCCAAACTGAGATCCTCGTTCAGGGGGTCTGGAACAGTCCTATGCTGATTTCCCAGCTATCAGTGTGGGGGCCATGAGCAACTCCTTGTTCAGGTCAGCTGTTTCTGTGAGTTTCACCAGCCTGGTCTTGACCCCTTTGCTCATCACTCCTTCCTCTCTGCAACTGGGTTCCAGAGTTCAGCTCAGTGCTTAGCTGTGGGTGTCTGCCTCTGCTTCCATCAGCTGCTGGATAAAGGCTCTAGGATGGCATATAAGATAGTCATCAATCTCATTATCGAGAAAGGGATTTTAAGGTAGCCTCTCCACTACTGCTTAGATTGTTAGTTGGAGTTAACCATGTAGGTCTCTAGACATTTACATTTTAAGTTACTAGCCTTTAATGGTAGTTGTGGCACACATCTATAATCTTAACATTCAAGAGGCAGAGGCAGGCAGGTCTGTGAGTTCGAGGCCAGCCTGGTTTACAGAGTGAAATCCAGGATAGTCAGGGATACACAGAGAAACACTGTCTTGAAAAACAAAAACAAACAAAAATTCAAATTGCCCCAACTGGCTATGATTTCACTCTGTAACCCAGGCTGGCCTGGAACCTTCAAGTCTCCTTCTTCAGCTTCTCAAATAGCTGGGATTACAAACCTGCGCATCCCTCATTGTCTGAAGTGGTCTGCCTGCTATGGAACCCTGAGAAAGAAGTATTCACATGACCCAGGCTCAACCAATAAAAATCTCCCTCTTGAGATAAGGAACAGCAGTACAAGCATGGAAAACCATGGAGGCCGAAGCCAGGTCATGAGCCCTCTGCCTTCCCCTTGGGGCTCAGCCTGGAGATCTCACAAGCAGCCTGAAAGCGCTATGAAGCAGGTAGGAACTCTGTGAGGAACCAGGAAGAGACCCAGAGGACATAGGTAGACAACATCAAAGTCAGGAATGGGCTGGGCACACAGAGCAGGACATGTCTGTGGTCAATGAGAATGCATTGCATAATGCAAAGTTAGCTGGAAGAAAGGAAGCCTCACCAAAAGGAATGATAACCGCTCGAGGTGGTCAACCTGTTGATCTCCCTGGCTTGATCACTGTTGAATGCATGCACGTGTCCCCACAGCACTCTGTAACATAAATTTGCAGATTTAAAGGAGGAAGAGAAAAGGAGTGGGGGAGGAGGGAAGGGAGGAGGGAGGGCTCAGGAGCGAGACTTAATTTTGACTTTTTCTCTCCATCACCAGACTATCACTGCTTGAAAATCACATCTTCCTGGGAAATTAAACCCAAATAAACAGACTGCCTACAGAGGACTGCCAGACCCTGTTGGGGTCCCTAAAACTACGAGGATGACAGATAAACTCCCCATTCTCTGTGTGCTCCCAGTTCCCTGTGGATGCCTTTCAACACCCCCTGCATCCTATTTCAAGCATCGGGCTGTCATAACCAGAGAGATAAAATAGACCTCCCAGGCAAAGTGATAGGGAGCAGCTGCCTGAGGCCCTCCCCAGCTCCATGTAGTCACCTCTGCTTCTCCCTCAAGCCCCATACTTACTTTTTCTCTCAGCTCTGGGAATGACACAGTCTAGAGATTGAGAGAATGTCCCTTTGCTGAGATTCACGATCTAAGAGAACATGAACACAGAATGGGAAATAACAGAGGTGTACTGGATGGCTTTGTGTGTCAACTTGACATAAGCTAGAGTCATCAGAGAGGAAGGAGCCTCAGTTGAGGAAATGCTTCCATGAGACCCAACTGTAAGGCATTTTCTCAATTAGTGATCCATGGCAGAGGGCCCAGCCCATGATGGGTGGTACCAATCCTGGGCTGGTGGTCCTGGGTTCTATAAGAATCAGGCTGAGCAAGCCAGGGGAAGTAAGTCAGTAAGCAGCACGCCCTCCATGGCCTCCACATCAGTTCCTGGTTCCAGATTCCAGCCCTGCTTGAGTTCTTGTTCTGACTTCCTCCAATGATCTATACATGTCAGCCAGATAAAGCCTTTAGTCACAGCAACAGAAACCCTAACAAGAGGAAAACAAACAGAATGATCAGTGGTGAATGTAATCACAATAAAAAAAGGGAACAAGAAATTAAAAATAACTATTGTGCTTTACTTTAAAAAAAGAAAAGGAAAGGAAGAAAGGAAGGAAGGAAGGAAGGAAGGAGAATTTGGCTACAAAAAGCAGGTAATCATAAATGAACACCAACTTGACAGTGTGACATTGGAATTTAAAACAAAGAGCTGGTAGACAGAATCGAGAGTGGAAGGACTGGAGATATAGCCTGGGGATACACCACTTGCTCAGCAGAAGACTCTTGGGCTCCAACCCCAGGAGCACCTGGCAAAAAAGAAAAAGTGAGAAGAGCTAGATAAACCCTTCCTTTCAGAAAGTAACTGCCTGATGTTTGTTTAGTACCACAAAGGCCACCTGTACCCTTAAGCCAGCATCTGATTCTAGTGTAAAAACTAGAGGTAAATTTCCCCAGATACACTTGATTATAAGAATCATCACATTAAACCTGCCGATCCCAGATCTCGGTATCATGTCTATCTAATGCATTAGAGTCTTCAGAAGGGCCTAGGGGTACGCATGCCTAATAAATATCCCTGGTTTCTCTTCTCTCCCCATTCTTAGAGTGACTGTGCAAGCCTTCTATTGTGGGGAAAACTCTCACCCAGACCAACAGAAATGTATGTGTCTGTCTTTAGCACAGTAGTCTATGTAGCTAGAACTGAAGGCAGGACAAAGTGACTATCTCCAGGGAGACGGGTCTAAAGACTACTGAGATAATTGCATGCAAAGGTGCAAACACTGTGTGGCAAATCATAACCACTGAACTAAGTGTCCACACAGCACCACAGAAAGACCTTTAGACACGTCAGACAGTCTGAAAAGAACTGTGTAAATATTAAATGCACACGCATGCTTTCCATCCGTGGTTATGAATTTAAATCAAGGCCATAAATCAAGTTCATTTAAAGTGGTTGTCTTGGGGAAGGAGAGGAAAGGGCTGTGAGGACCAAATAAAGGAAACAAACAAGACGATGCTCTGCCCAGACCTATGAGGACAGAACATCACAAACTGAGAGGTAGTCCTAGTTTAATATTCAATTCTTTGCAAGTGTCTGAGAAAAAAAAAAGTTGACTCACTTCTATATGGAAGTTCTAGAGAATTTGTTTACTTACGCCTGGATTGCCCAAGCTTGCCTGAGGTCTGTCTCCTTTAGTCCTGTAATTCCCTGAATCTTTCCACGCCCACCCTATCCCCACATGATGGGAAAATCAGCCTGTGCTTTCAGCCACTAACCACACAGTATATCATCAATCAATCCATTCCTGGCCAACAGGAGGTCTGCCTGGTGAACTGCCTTCTGGGTAGAGATAAAATGGCCATCGATCTCCCCACCCAGTCTCCAGGGCCATCTACCGTTTGACTTTGGTCCTGGGTTGCATTAGAAAGCAAGTTTCACTTCTTTCCTCCAGTTTCCTGTCTTAGGTTTTTCTTGGTGATGAATTATACCCTGGAAGCTAAAAGAAACCCTGTCTTCCCGAGTTGTTTTTGGTCAGTGTTTTATTATAGCAACAGAGAAACAATCTAGGATGCCGCCCCCCAGTGACCCTACTTCCAATAGGTTCCACAACTTCCCAAAACAGGGCCACCATCTGGGGACCAACTTTTCAAACAAAAGGAGCCTGTGGGGGACATTTTACATCCTCACCAGAAGGAAGTCTTTAAGTCATTAGGACATGATGTGAGACCTTGCTCCTCATTATATCTCTGTCTCTGGACCACAAGGTGAGTATATTTTCTCCAACTCATGCTTCTACATGATGTGCTGTGTTGTCAGCCACTGTCTCAGCTATGCTGTCAAATGACCCTTTATTTAACGGCCATTGCAAAAGACAGCTCTTGGGGTCTACCTGACTTGGCGCCATTCTCTGATATTCAAATGCCTTCAACCCATTCTCCAGCAACCCCAAAAGCCTCTTACTTGCACCCAGGATACTCTGCGGTCAAGTCTCCCTTCCCTGGGACATGCTCTAATACCACCACACAGTTAAGAAGTTTCCTGATTTCCTTAATTACCCTTTGTGCTTGTGAGTTCATTGTTCCTAATCGGCACACATCCTGTCTTCCTCTTTGACTACCCCTACTTACCCCCTACAACTCCCCAGCTCCCCTTACCTAACAAGTCCTTGGCTCCCCTGGGTGTCCAGCAGAGCTGTTCCCTTTTCCTGGCCTCCCTGACTCCTGGGGACAAACATGAGCAGAGAACATTTTGATAAGGGGGCCATGCTCTGATAGGCTCTGCTGTCACCTGAGTTGCAGAGAGGCAGAAGCATGGTATTCTATAGGATCAACATGCCTCAGTTTTGGATTCCTGTGTGGCCTTGATCAGGCCTATCACATTGTCACACTCCCCTTGCTACAGCCAGGAATCAGTCTCCACACACCTCCCAGGGGCCCGGGGAACAATCGGTAAATTGTTATTCGTGAATGGTGCTCTTTTTACTACGTATTAGCCATTCCGGGAAAGACCAGTCATTCTATCATGGACAGTCTCTTACAAGCAAAAAGAAAAGCAAAAAAAAAAGAAAAGAAAAGGAAAAGTGGGAGGGAGTATATCGAAGGGCAGATAGGGAGGAATTTCAACATCAGGAAAAAAGAGAAAAGATTAGATTTGCACTCAGTTTAAAATTTCATCTAAGATGAAATTCTACCCAGTCCAACAGATATGAAAATAATTCGGTCCATGAAGAAAAAGATGATGATGACCCTTCAGTAAGTGAAATTTCAACGTCTGCTTTCTGTGTGGTTCAGCTCTGACCCTGGAACACGACCTTTGAGCGTTCGGATGTTGGTACCAGGAATGTCCAAGCATCATGCCAGTCTAAGGGCAACATGGATGCAGGAAATGGACCCTGTTGTGATGCATCACGTGTTCAGTGTCCCCTCTAAAAGACATGCCACTCACTGTCCAGCATTTGTTTTCTGCGACTAAATGTCACCAGCCCTTCGTTGACTAAGCATATCTTCACTGAGCCAGACAAGTTAGACTGGATCTAAAAGAAAGCAAATGCCCAGGCTAACATGCTGCTTACTGGGTCCCTCTCTTTCCTGTCCCAGTTGAGGTTGTGGGTATCTATTCAAGTATCTAGATAGATAGAGGGATAAGAGGTACAGACTGCAAGGTGGTGACGGGCTCATGCAACTACATCACCCCACCATGGACCACAAGACTACCCCAACTGTCCTTCATATCACAGGAACAGTTCTCCATGCTGTTTGTCTAGCAAAAGTGCCTACTCCTGTCATGTGCCTGATGCCACCTGAGAATCCCATGTAAGGACACAAAAGGGAAGTAAGTCCTAGTAAGTCTCATGTTTGGAATTCCCCGTGCTGCCTGACCAAAGAATCCATCCCACCCCAGTCTAACTTGGCGAACCAAGGAATTAACTGTGGTTACTGATGGAAGTGTAGATGACTCAGACGCAACTGCGCCCAGCATGAGTGACAACTAAGAAAAGCCTCTTCCCTGGAGCTCCCTGAACAGTTTGCAGGCAGCTCCTCTCCCCAGAGACTTGCTGCTTGTATAACCTTAGGGAGAGGCCATGCCAGCCCTCTCACTCTGGGTTCACCGAGGCTTGCAGGTTTTGTGAGCCTCTTCCCTCTCTTTCTGCTAAGAACCCCAAACGCATCCTTACATGTGGATCTTTCCCGGACAATGGGCTTCCTCTTGGCACTTGGCTTTGTCTCCAGTCTGTGTTCTCTGATGCCCACAAGAACCTGAAAACTCTGAGCACTCAGCCTGCTTCTTGTTTCTTTGAGAACTCCTCAAATCCTCCCTGTGAGGGTGTGAGAATCTTGAGTGGATGCGAAATGTCTAGCCAGGAGCCATTGGACCAGGCTGATGCAGTGCTGAACATGGGTATAGAAAATATGGTTCCAAAAAGGCAAATGAGTTAGTGACTCACAACGCTTGCTTTATCCTCTACAACTCACCAAACCAACAAATTGTTCAATTCACTAATTTTTTTATTCTAGGGCTTTTAAACCTTTTTTGACATTCATAAGTTATGACCCAGTATCTATCTTTCCCCCACTCTCTCCTGTCTCTTTTTCTGTCTGTCTGTCTGTCTCTCTTAAACATAAACACCAAAATAAACTTTATAAAATGACACTTGCTTTATGCAAAGCACTGCTATTTTCTATTTTATCCCATTGGATTTATTTTTAAAACGTTGGCCATCCATAGTCCTTTAAAATGGTTTTACAGCCAGTTAAGGAACTGCAGCCCGCAGTGTCATCACAACTTTACTCTGCACTGAAGATCGGTGGCTGCTTTTTGTGCCCACCCCCTCCTAGGGTCTTTGCTCCTCCCCTGCAGATGTCAGGGCTGCAGAAGCTGACCTCTCCTCATGGCACATCTTTTTCAATTACAACACTCCCTCTAGAACAGTAATCCTCAACCCTCGTAATGCTGCAACCATTTAACACAGTTCCTCATGTTGTGGTGACCCCAACTATAAAATCATTTCTTTGCTACTTCAAAACAGCAATTTTGCTACTGTTATGAATTGTAATATAAATATCTGATATTTATAGTACAGGTTGAGAACCACTACTCTGGCAGGAGCAGCAGCCACCTCTCCTGTGTGCACAGGTGAAAATAGCTGCAGCAGAAGCTCT